GGACCAGAAGGAACATGTTTTCAAATTACCTGCACGCACACCGAGCTTTAGAGCTCGTGCACTCCCATGTTTAGTCTTGTTTTGAGAGTTTCCTGAAATTACATGACTGAAAACATGCACACGCGGAAGAACATGACAACGTTCTTAGTGCTGCTTACATTGCTGGTTTTAGTTGGAAGTGTTAATACTGAATGACCTTTTTCTGAAGGGTATTTTAAGGAGACAAAGCAATTTTCCATAATACGGTTGCCATAGCGATTGGCCCTTAAAAAGGCTGGGAGAGAAATGATGTACGTCTGTAATCACCAGCCACTGCAACAACTAATGGTCTGGTAAAGCAACAGTCGGGGATTAATTTGAAGCAGAACAGATAAGCGGTTTTTAAAAACTCAACAAAGGAGAAGAGGAAGGAGGACTCTGTGGCTGCACAAGCAGGGCCGTGGTGACAGGCACCAACCCTGCTCCGGAGGATGGGGGGCTGCCTGGGAAGGGCTCGTCAGTGCAGAGCCTGTGGGTGACTGGAGGGGCTGGGGGCAGCGGCCTTCTCCCCTGGCCTCCCAGTGCTCCTGGGATGATCTGCTGACCCCAAGGCTGGGGCAGGGAAGGCACCAGACAACACAAAATCACATTGTGTCAGAGAGCAGGAAGGTTCTTGAAGAAGGATGGTGACACGCCAGAGACGTGGCAGCCCGCTTGCAGGGGCTTCCCCTGGTCAAACTTGAGAGAATTGAAACACCAAAGTAAATACTGATAGTAACAGACCACAGTGCATGAAACCACTGGACTGTGAGTCCACACAGACATGAATGAATAGGAAATTTAAGGAGGATACTTACCTAATTTCAAAGCACCGACACACAAAATACTAGTTAAGAAAAAAAGTGGATAAGCCTGGGAGATGTCATCTTAACCAAGTGATTAAAATGGCTCCCACAGCAATAGGCCACTTAATGTGACACCTGATACACGCAATGACTAGACACAGTGCCACTTCCGTGACATCCACACCAATATGCACAGCCTGAATGTGTTCATGACAACACATCAGACAAACCCCAAATAAGGAACATTCTACTAAGCAGCTGCCCTGTGATCTTTTAAAGTGACTTCTCCATGATAGCCCAGGGAAGCCTAAGGAACGTTCCAGGCTGAAGAAGGCGAAAAGGACCTGACAGCTAAATGGAAGATGAGCTGAACCAGATCCTTTGGATAAAAAGGGCATTGGTAGAACTGGCAGAATTTGAGTGGGGTCCAAGGATTCAAAGGGAAGCTGATAGTAATTTCCTGACAGTGAGAGTTAGATTATGATTATGTAAGAGAATATTTTTATTCACTGGGAATGCATGTTAGAATATATAGGAGAAGGGCATTATGGCAGCAATTTATTCTGAAACGGTTCAGTGGGGAAAAAACTTTTGTACCATAACTTGCAACTTTTCTGTAAGTTTGAGAGTGTTTCAAAAAATAGGTTTTAAAAAAGAAGGCAAATGGGGGCGCCTGGGTGGCTCGGTCAGTTAAACGGCCAACTCTCAGCTTCAGCTCAGGTCATGATCTCAGGGTCATGAGATCGAGACCCACGCCAGGCTTGGTGCTGGGCGTAGAGTCTGCTTGAGAGTCTTTCTCTCCCTCTGCCCCGCCCCCACTCACACTCTCTCTCTAAAATAAATAATATCTTTAAAAAGACAAAAAGAAGGCAAATTACTAATATCAGAAACGAAAGCTGAGACATCACCACAGATCCCACAGACATTAGAAGGATAATAAGGGAAAACCATGAACAACTTTATGCCCACGAATCCGATAAAATGGATGAAAAGGACCAGTTCCTGGAGAGACACAATTTGCCAGAACTCCGACAAGAAGAAACAGACACCAACTTTCCAAAACAGAAGGGACCAGCCCCAGATGGGCTCACTGGTGAATTGAGGAAGAAATTGTGTTAATTTCCTCCAACCTCTTTCCCAGGACAGAGGCAGAGGTGACAGCCGCTCTCCATCTCCTGTCGGCCGCGGGCAGAGCTTTCCAAGCAAAACCAGGTGTTTGGGTAAGAAAAGCCATGACCAAAGGGTAGAGGGTTTCTCCCTTTCTGGACCTGAGAGCCAGTTTGTTCAGAAATGGAAGTCAGCACCTCACTGCACCCACAAAATGGATCCTTGGCCCTGGGTTCCCGCCTCTCCCCTTCGAGCTGACCCCCACCTGTCCCCTGTCCCCACCTGTGTCCTCAACGTCTCTCCTCACCTGGCTTATGTTCCAAAGTCCTCTGACTAGAACTTCCCTCTCTCTAGACACTGTTAACCCTTTTCCCCTCTCCCATTGGCACGCTCGACTGGCTAAACTATAACCCTGCTCAATCCGGCTCTCCATCTTGTCTACACCCGCACCCACCACGTTGAAGGACAAGAGGAAACCTGCAACTGTGCTCACTGTTCTCCCTTTGGATTCATGAGCACTGGCCTGGTGGGCATGGCCATACATGCCTCTGCGTACCTCGACTGCTCCTGACCTTCCGCGGCCCGGGCCAGCAGTCACCCGCACGTCCTGAGTCAGTGCGGTGTGTGCTCCCAAGCTCCCAGGGCATGCTGGCACAGCTGGAACCACCACACTTGGTACCTGCGGTCCTAGATGGAGACTCCCAGCGGCCCCTCTACCCTCAGATCTCCACGGCACCATCCTCGCTTTCTGTAGTGGCCATAACAAACTGCCACCCACTCCACAGCGCCACACGGCACAGATGTGTTAGTTCTGCAGGTCGGGGCTCCAACACGGGCCTCACGGGGCTGCAGGGAAGGTGCTGGGGAGACTCCGCTTCCCTGCATCCAGCTTCCAGCAGTGCCCGCACCTGGTCTCACTGTCTCGCCTCCTCCGCCTTCCCTCCACAGGCACCTCTCCCTCTGACTGCCGCCGGGAGAGCCCGCTTCTCAGGACCCAGGTGACACTCCAGGACGGTCTCCCCACCTCGAGGACCCCGAGTGCTTGGCATCTGCGAAGTGACCCATGCATTCACAGGTTCCGGGGATCAGGACGCGGGCATCCCTGGGGCTGTTCTGCCTCTTGCCCGTCCTCTCTCCCCACTGAGGATGGGGCTTTGTCTGGAGAGTCTCGCGGTTTCCCTGCCACCCCTGCAGACCCAGGTGTGTGCTGTGTGGCACCGGGCATGTGCAGGGAAGGATGGATCATGTGCCACTCTGAGGCAGGCTGAGACACCTCGCTCAGCGGCCAGCCAGAGGAAAGACTGCTCTCCACCTCCGTCCCCATGTCAGCCCCCCACCCGTGCCACCTATGAGGCCACAAACATCTGAGGTCACGGTTCCACGTGGAGAATCCCCGGGACCCTCCCCAGATCCACGCCTCGGCCAATTTTCTGGAGTCTCTTCCTATTTGCAGAGATGTCCATAGACGTGAAGGTGAAAACGTGCTCATTCTACTCCCAGTTGCTGTCCAGAAAGAAAGCCCCCAGAGAGGCCGGCCAGCCCTCACAGCAGAGCAACTCCGGGGGGACTTTATTCTAGGCACCTACATTTAATTTCTAAAATCGCTCTGGGAAGGCAAGAGATTGAGGTTCATTTTAAAAATCTATTTGCTTGCAACCTAGAAAGAAGCACAAAGATGGGCGGGAAGGGAGAGCTGTAAGCCAAAGAAAACGCTCTGACTTTATTTTTCTCCTTTGTGAAGCATCAACAGCAGGCTCTGTGTGGATTCGACCCGGGAAGTGCCACGTCCCCGTGGGTGACATATCAACACACACATACACACGGAATGGGGGACGTGCCGAACTGTACCAGGCACTTAAACACACGGGATCCAAATTAAGACTTATCAGCAAGTTCATTATCTAAAAATAAATCAGCTTTTCTTTGCTTCATCAAAAGATCAGATTATAGTGTTCGCCACCTGACTTTCAGAATACAGCGTTTTTATTCTCAGACAAGGGAGGACAATGAGAATTATTACATAATCTGTCAGGTACCACACAGGCCGATCGCGGAGGCTGTCTCGTGGCGTGCCCATTGTGGCCGCGCAACAGGCTTCAGCGGCGAAGCACAAAACCATTCGGAAATGCAGCGTGGAGGGCAGAAAACACTGCCAACATTTCAGGCAGGAATGCTCCTGGCTCCCCGAGGTCAGGCGGGCCTCCCCCACCTTCTGCATGACCCGGCCGGGTCTCTCCCTCCTTCTGGGCATCGACAAGGCCGAGATGAGCATTCCCGGGCTGTCCCCTCACAGGATGAGGTGGGTAAAGAGAACGTGCGTTCTTGTCGGGCCCAGGGGCAGATCACTGCCGTGAGGAAGGGGGCACAGGGGAGTTTAGCCAGTTTCCACAAGACTGCTTTCACTCGGGTGCCAGCCCCAAGTCTGTGGCCCCCAGGCCACCCACACTTCAGACCAGTTGGCTGCAAAGTCGGGGGCCTTCACGACCACCCTTGTGTTCCACAAGTTGTTAGAACAACTCACAGAACTCAGGGAAGCACTACACTTATGATTAACGTTTTATTATGACAAAAGGGTGCAAATCAGAAGCAGCCAAAGGGAGAGATGCATAGGACAAGGTGGAGGGTCCCACAGGGAGCATCACCCTCCCACCACATCCAGGACGGTCAGCGACCAGGTGCGCTCAGCCCAGCCCAGCGTCCCGTGTTTAGCGGGGCTACGTTATACAGACACGATTGACTACATTGTTGCCCATGTGGTTGAACTCAATCTCCAGCCCTCTTCCCTCCCAGAGGGTGGGCTGACGTCCCGTGGTCAGGGTCTCTGGTGCAGCCAACTCCACCCTGAGTCCTCTTGTTAGCATCAACTGTCTGGGGGCCCGCGCTGAATCACAGACACATGTCTAGCCCTCGAGAAACACCAAGGGACAGAGATCACCTCCCAGGCACCAGCGACAAAGACCAGACCTCTCCTCGGGCTAAGGCCAACGTCTTGATTACACTGGGGGTATTGGTCGGGGTTCTCCAGAGAAACAGAGCCAACAGGAGATCGATTGGTTCTAAAGAATTGGCTCATGCAGTCACGGAGGCCGACAGGTCCCCAGGTGTGCCGTCAGCAAGCTGGAGGAGAGGAGAGCCAAGGCTTTAAGTGCCAGTCTGAAGTCTGGCAGGCTCAAGGCCAGGAGAACCCATCTTTCAGTTTGGATCAAAGGCAGGAAAAAGCCAGTGTCTCAGTTGAAAAGGCAATCAGGCAGGAAGAATTCCCTCCTACTCACAGGACGATCAGCCTTATTGTTCTATTCAGGCCTTCGACTGATTGGATGAGGCCCACCGACACTAGGTTGAGCCGTCGTGCTAATCTCATCCAGAAATATCTTCCCAGACACACCCAGAATTATGCTCGTGTAAATATCTGAGCCAGGTTGATACCTAAAATGAACCATCACCAGGACCAAAGATCAGTGTCTACCACTGCCCTGAGGGACAGGCTGGCCTCACCATACTGCGGGGTCAGAGAAGGAGCAAACAGTGTGTGTGATCAAGTACTAACTGTGGTCATTTGCAGTCGTAGGGACACAGGCAACATATTTCTATCTTCTTTTCTGGATTTTTCACATCTTCTGTAATAGAATTTTGTAAGGAGGAGGTAAGAACGTAAGAAGCCATAGAGTCCCACAAATGGAGTCTATTCTACTCAGTTTCGACTGGCTGATGCTCCTTCCCAACCCAGGTGAGGGTTAAACCAGCCAGTCCACAAAGGGCAGGAGGGGGCACTGGGCAGGAGGGTGCCCCACAGAGAAGGGGTTGGGCCAACCCAGCGCCACGCAGCGAGTCTCATGGCCGCCTGCTGCGCCCATGACCGCCCTGGGACTGTGAGCAAGGGGGGTGGGCTGCCCTCGGGTCCCCCAGCCCCTTTCCTGCCTCCAGAGCTACACCGTCCAACACGCAGCCCCTGGCCACATTAGGCCTTGAAAACGGGGCTCGTCAGGGCTGAGACACTCTCAAAGTGTAAAACACACAGAGATTCATAAAAGGACATGGTAAGCATCATGTTCCTCGTGTTTCTATCCTGACTGGAGGACAGAAGGGTGACGTTTCGGATACATTGGGTTGAACAGAATGTACTACTTCACTTCATTTCATCTATTTTACTTTTTCAAAACAATGCAAAATGGCCCACATGGCTCATGCCCCTTCTGTTCACGGTGTGCAGATTTGCTCCAGCCCACAGAAGCCATAATAAGCTCTTCCTCGGGGCACCGATCCTTCCCTTCCGGCCCCTCCATAACTCTGAGACTGACGGGAACCGATGAACTTCGGCCCACTGGCAGCTCTGACAAGGAAGCCCTGAAAGCAGGAACCAGGGGAGCTGCCCGCGGGCCCCCAGAGCCAGGCCCCGCCCACTTGCCCACTGGGCTTGACCTGTTGCCCTGACCGTCAGTGTTGAGCAGTCACCCCTTTAAGCAGAGTATGTGTCTGTTCAACTGGATTGTTTATATGTACACACATACACACACACACGTACACGCGTACATACATGTGCCCGTGTACTGTATACATGCACGTGTGTGCTTACACGTGTGTGTGCATACACGCACGCACGTCCACGTGTGCGCACATACATGTGTGCATGCGCACCCACACATAAACGTGCGTGCACACACATGTACGTACACAGGCACACACGCATGTACATGTGCACGTGAGTGTGTACATAAGTGAACCCCCATATATATATATATATGCACGTATGCACACCGGCATATGCACACGTATGCACACCCACGTATGTATATATTAAGCCTGCCATGTATGGATGCCTGAGCCACAGCTGCTCTGGAGAACACAAGTTTTCAAGGTGGAAGGCAGAGATTCTCCAAGACCAAGAGGCTCCCTGGGCTGCACCCCCCCCCAGTTAGCGCTTGCCCGTCGCTCTGGAACCTAGGTGTGCTCCGCCCTGGGAGAGGGGCCAGGAGGAAGCTGCAGCAGGTGGCCTGGGCCTCCCAGAGGCCGACGCCGGGCCTCTCCTTGCACAGCTCACTGCTGGGCAGGTCCTGAGCCCCCCCGCGAGTCGGATCGACATGCCCACCCCATGCAGGTGCAGCCTGTGCTCCGAGAAGTGGCGTGGTGGCTTCGCGGGGCTCCAGCAGCAGTCACAAGCGGCACAGCTGGCCGCCGGGAGCTTCCACTCAGCGTCCTCGCTCCCACAGGCCAGGTCTGCCCGAAGCTGGGAAGGCCGCAGTGACTACGACAGCATGCGACGGGAAGCGCTGAAAATACCTTTACTGTTTTCCCATTGTGGCTCTTCCCATCACACACTTCACGGCGGCTCACCGGCTGGGCCCTTTCAGGTGGGCGTCTCTGCCGATCTTCACTTGGGCTTTGTCGTGCCCTCAGTCCTCGGTCTCCTCCTCTTCCATTATTGTCAAGGAAGCTGGATTGAAGATCAAACAAAGAGCGGGTTTGCCGCATGGAACGTTCAGCGGTCCCAAGGACATGTCATCAGGTCTGCGAACACGTCTACGCGGCCATGATCCAGTCAAAGACAAGTCTGGTCAACAGTCTGTCTGCCCTGGCTCCCTGTCAGCAAAGGAGAAGCATCTCCACTTCTCGTGGCCTCGCTCTGCAGAAGCCCCCGAGAAGGGGGTGCACGTCCTGCCCTGAGGGAAAGTGCCACGGCTCGGACAGCTCGGCAGGGGCAGGCGTCCAGACCCTACAAGATGTCTGGGTAGGCCTTTTCTCTGCCCAGTAGCTACGGTGAACCCGAGTCTTCGCAGCTAACGGGGAACAAGAAGCCCAGAGAGCACGTACCCACACAGCCTGAGGTAGAGCTGAGGGTTTAGGGTGCTTCCTTCTCTAACCTGGCCACGTGCTCACCTGCGAAGAGCAACAAGCAACCCGCCAAAGCCCTCCCCTCTGGAGACAGTTAATAAAGACACAAAAACACAGGTGCCGGGTCCTGAGGGGCTGCTCCCACCCCTTGGGCCACGCGTTTCCGCACCCCCGCCAGGAAGCACCCGACTCGGTCTGCGGGTGCCGACCCGCCCGGGCCCGGGGCCGCCTGCGCACCTCCCTGCCCTGCCCGCCACGGGGCGTGCCTGTCCCGGACAGGGTCTCTGGAGGAGCCAAGCTGCGCCCTGTGCCTGGACGACCTGCCGTCTTACCGTCCCCCTCCCTGACGCTCTCACTCTTCCTCAGTGGCTCCATACTCGCGGGCTGGGAGGCCGCCTGCTCGCCGGATGGGGCTGCCTCCGCTTTCTCGCTGGACTTAGGAGAAAGAGGTAGGTCCGTGGGCACTTCCTTTTCTCTCCTGTTCTCTTGCACGACTCTGATGGGAAGAGAGAAATTGAAGGTGGACAACTCAATGGGCTGTCCAGTCCTTCACCAGGACGTCTCCCTAAAACAGGGGGTCACATGCTTTGCCTTAGCCGTGCCCACTTCAGCTCCGGATAGGCGCACCACACACGCAGCCGTGCTTGGCATCCAGCTGCCCGAGGGCGAGAACAGAGCAGGGACGGGGTGAGTGTGCAGGCAGGTCACTCAAGACGTCACCTGGCACCATTCAGAGCAGGGGAGTGGTTTTCTTTGCTGCTGGACAAAGTGACGTGCTAGTCTCCGTGGCTCCTATCTGCGTCGTAAGGGGGCTTGTGGTGGCGGCACTCGGCCCCGGGTGGCAACGATGAATCCAGGCTCTGACCATGGGCAGCCGCCAGCTGCCATGGCCTTGTGTCCTCATCACCGAAACGAGAGGGGAGATTCCTGTCTGGAGCATGTCTACACTGTGGCTCACAGCACTGAGCACCCTGCAGACACACGGGGCGGGGAGCCCCGGGCCCGCTCATGGGCGGAAGGGGGCGAGCAGAACGCGGACCACGTGGGAGCTCCTTAACTGCTGGGGGCGTCATCAGGAGCTCTGGGGGAGCCGCTGGGCCCTCCAACCGCGACAGCCCCGCCCACTCCTCGCCACCCTGAGTCCCGCACCTTCTGCAGGTGCGTTCAGTGGAGGAGCGACTGACCTGTAAATGATAGTGATGATGAAGGCCCCGGCGATGATCACGATCAAGACAGAGAACACCTGCACGTAGACTGGAAAACAGTTTCCATTACGGAAGTCGGGCCTCCCGCCCGAGGCAGGTGGCGCCCTGCCCCTGCTGCCCGCGGCCTCTCCTCCACCACCTCCCCCTTGGGGCCACTGCCGAGGGCTCGAAGTCCCCACAGATGCGTGAGGCTCCACGTGGGCCACGCAGAGGACAGCCGAGGGCTGCCCGTGGGGACAGTGGTGCAGGCAGCGCCCTCGACTCTTCTCCAGAAAAGCCCCTTTGCCACCCATGAGCGGGGCCCCCCACCCCAACTCCCCAGAAACAGTTCCTCAACATTAGGGTGAGCCGTCCCAAGGCTGAATAGAAGGAGAATGCCTCTTGGCTGATAGCCACATTCCACCGGCTGAGCGTCTCTGTATTAAGGAGGGCCTTCCACTGTCCCCCCCGACTTCTCTAGACTCGCCCCAACAGAAGAACCTGGGCCTCTAGGGTGACTCTTGGGCGGCGGCCCCTATTCCCATGCTTCCAGCTGTGGGAACGTTCTGGGCCCCTTCCCCTACCCCCAAGGGAAGCCTTCCCGTGGGGGCCCTCCATCGCAGGCACCTCTCCCGTTGGGACTGACGTTTGGGGTCCATGGCTCCTGGGCTCAGGCAGAGCGAGGGGCCGTGTCCTGGGGTCCTCATGCCCAGGCAGCCCCCATGAGCGTGCTCAGCGGAAGCCCTGCGACCAGCACCCTCTCAGTTGGGCGGAGGTCGGGACTGGACGGGACGCAGGTGGAGCTCCCAAAAGGGCGCCTGGCACGCAGTTCATGCACAGTGTCCCTATTGTATTACTACCAGCGTGCCTCATCTCGCACAGCTTTTCACTCTTTCAAAGGGCAGAGACTTCTTTGCACACCCCTACCTCGAGCAACAGGGTTTGCTCCAGTTCTTACATCCTCCTCTAAACCGCTTTCACCCGTCCTTAACCAGCAGTAACACTATTAGATGCCGCGTCCCTGGAGGTTCATTCATGTGCTGAGGCTGACGTAACAAAGTGCCACCAGTGCGTGGCTTCAGACGACAGGAAGGTGCGGTCTCACAGCTGTGCAGGGACAAGTCCACGGTGGCGTCCCCGTAAGGCTCCGAGGGCTCCTTCCTGCCTCTCCGGCTCCTGCCGGTCCCGGCGCTCCTCGGTGTCCTCGTCTTGGAGACCCCTCACCTGGCTCTCAGTCAGCACGTGGCAGTTTCCCTCTGGGACACCGTCTTCATGGGGCGCTCCCCTCTGTGCGTGCTCTGGGCATCTCTAGGTCTCCTCTTGTAAGGGGCCCACGGTAGTCCAGTGTGACTTCAACTTAACTAATCACATCTGCAAAGACCGTGTTTCTAACTAAGGTCACATTCACAGGTACCAGAGGTTTGGCCTTCAACGCATCGATGGCGGGGGGGTGAGGCAGGGGACAAAATTCAACCCACAACAGAAGGTAAGCAGTAGCTGCAGAGAAAGCTGCCTCACAGGCATGGAAGGGCGATTCCAACGGGAACTGCATTCTCTGGACTAACCTAGAATGTCTCTGAGAATGGACAGGGCCTCCAGGATCCTTAACATGGGGGCTGAAGTCAGAAAACTGAAGAGGGTTGAAGCCAAACCGTTCAGTGATAGCAGCCCAAATGCTTCCTTTTTCCCTACTGATCCAAGCTCAGTAAGGGGTGGCCAGCCATACATACGATGGGCACCCCATGGTCAAGAGTCCATCAGGGAGAGGGTGGAGGGGGCAGTGGGACCTGGCCTGGGGGTGGCCAGCACACCACAGCAACGAACCAAGCAGCGACCTGCTTGTTGAAGGCTCTGTTCTAATCAGCTGGTTTCTTTCTTTCAATGATGCGTTTCCCGTGGAAATATGTTCACCTCAGTTCATCTTTCCATCTCTAGGGCTGCAATAACCAGCCCCCAGGATGGCCTGCAGGGATGCTTGCCTCCCGGTATTTGCACCCTGGTGTAGACACTTCCACATTGCATAGGGCTGACCTCTGAACCAAGGGCACTGGGCAGGGTGTAACTGCTGGGGCTAGGTCAGAGTCACTGTGGCTTCTACCCGACTTTCTCGGGCCACCCGCTCTGGGAAGAGGCCATCACCATGTCGTAAGGACAGGCAAGCAGGTCTCATGGCACGGAAAAGGGCTTTCTGTTAACCCTTAGTACCACTCGCCAGCAAAGCAAGCCGTCTCAGAGCAGGCCCTCCAGCCCCGGTCCGGCCCTCAGATGACTGCCACCTCATGAGTTGCCAAGCCCACACCACCCAGCCAAGCCTCTAAGCTGTCGCTTTAGTCCACTAAGTTCTGGGTAGCTCGTTACACAGCATAAGTAACTAATATGAGGGTGTGGCAAAGGGCATGGCACAGAGAAAGTGCCCTTAAATGACGCTGAATGAACTGAATGGAAATGATCAAACCAGGAGCTTTTAAGGGACAAGAAGGGAGCCCTCAAATTCTCGAATTCCAGGACGTGTATGTTCCTTAGTGTGATTTTGTGTCCTGGTAAATTTAGAATTTAAGCCGTGAAAGAGACATACACATGGACAACGTTGGAATATCCGATTGTCAGTATATCTTCCAAATCTTTACACATGTAAGTATTTTCAGTCTTTGGTGTCAAGTTCTTGGAGGCAGAGACTAAGTCTCTGTGATCCTCTCTGCGCAGGATCAGGCCAGCACATGATTTGCTATCAACAATATATATGGTTTATAATAAACCATATATTATGATTGGTCACTGAAAAATAGCAACAACTGAAGAAAGCATTATTTTCTTTAAGGAATCTCTCGGTAATTTCACCCCCAGATACAGTTAAAAGTTTTGACATCATCTCAGCGAGTCCCATGAAGAAACAGAAGTCACTTAGAAGAAGTGACATGTTAAATAATGTGCCCTAAATCAAGACTGAAGAATGAAGGCAAGTCATTCTCTTTGAATTCCCAATTCCTTCTCAAAGATCTAATGCTAATTCCCCAAGTTCATATTCTTAATAATACAGATTATGCCGTAACACAATGTGCACTTCAAACCAGCCAATTTAAGAAGTTGGTGAAAGGTTTTCATAACATGGAATTATGTGCACAAAGAACTCATAATACCCTGTCACTGAATACTACAACTTACACAGCACAAAGGTTCACTTGCCGTCTTGAATGAGAAAGATGTCAAGGAAATGAAAAATAATTTGAGGGCACAGTGAAAACCCAAATGTAGGGCTCACTGCCCAGACTCTTCCCACAGATGGCCCAACCTCTCAAGCTTGAAAGAAGTCAGAAGTTAAGAAAAAGCCTAGCCCACACAACTCATTTATTAAAACTGAAAGGGTGGAAAGAGGATTAACATTTGCCTCCATGCAAAAATGACGTAACTACTTGTAGAACAGTGAACCCCCTTCCCGGACAAAAAATTCCTGAGAGTCTTGTGTTCTTTTCTGGGTTCCTTACAGACACCAATAAGTAAGGTGCTATAAAGAATAAGGCTCATCTTTCAAATGAGTTACAGGCATCAGGTAATAATATTAATGCACGATATGTTTGGATTACATATTAATATGAGCAAAATGGCTAACTCTCTCATAAAATTCTCATGAGAAGACATTCAGGGGAGGGACAGATGGGAAAAGTAGTGGCAGCAGCTTGAATCTGTGCGCCCTTGCTAGCCACGATCTGCCTTCCAGGTTCCATCTCACCATCTTATGCTGCTGGGGCCGTTTCACTGGGACATGAGGAAACTGGAGTGACAGCCAAAGACTATGACCACATGTGAGACCTGACTTAGGAACTGAATGTCTTCTGCATCTTCATATGTGCAAGACTGAAAGAACAAATTCAAATGCCCTTTGGATGTGAATGTTTCCTGCTTTTAGAAGCCCCAAATGGTAACAAAATCTAAGATACATAAGTGCTTAGGACACGGGAGCCAAGAAGTAAAGCTCCATGATGTGCTCGTCTGTTGCCCTCCAACAGTGAGATGTGTGTCAAACCACCAATGCCACAAAATGACAAAAAGATGACAAGTGCAAAAAGCAGCAAATTATGGCCAAACCACCACCCAGTGCCATGACCTCAACTGAGGAATAGCTGTCACGTACCCCGGAAAACAAGCTGCTGGATGATAGGCCATTCCACACTGGCAGACCTGGGCTCTAGAGGATCTTTCAGGTGAGATTCCGGCTACAGGTTGTAGATTTTACAATGAGAGAAGTAGAGGACAATAAACAAATTTAAAGACAAAGTGCTGTGTCTCATTGCAGCTTTTACTACCCAACTGTGTGCAACTGGACCTGAGGTTCATTAAAGTCTGGAATTTTCAGTGTGACATCAGAAAAAAAAAAGTGTAGAAAAGGAGCCCCCCCCCCAATCCCTCCTCCATAAAACCAGTGAGAACACTGGCAACATGCATCAGAATAAACTTTTTCAGAACTCTGAAAATTAATCAATCAAAAGTTTGCAGATGAACAGATAAGTGTAAGAACAGTGAAATGTGGACATTTTAACTGGTGCTATTTCTACTTCTGCTCACCTCCAGTTCCATGGTAGTCTTCAACCAACAGCCCACAATCATGGTGACCACTAGCAGCCTGGCATCTCTGAAGGTGGCAGAACAGGGCTGGAGCTTCTTCAAAGTCCAGTCCCAAAGAACTGTCATTATTTGATCCATCCAGTACTTTGCTAGAAGATCTCACTTGCAAGGTTGTCTTTATTTGACCTGACTTGGAGCTAATTTAGTGTGAACAGCTTCTTCTCAGGCATTTGTTGAAAACAATCAGAGGCAAATGTTGAAAATCATGATGGCTAAAGTGGCTGATAGCAGTTGGGGGTAGATAACAGGTTGACCAAAAAGTTTAAAAGGAAAATCTGGGGAATTATCTGTCTGTAGGGAGGTCTGAAAAGCTGTGACATATTCCTTGGGATCCAGAAGGCAATGGGCATGCCCAAGGCTGTGCACATACTTAGGAAATAGCTGAGAAGGCCCTAACCTCTCACTTCTGGCTGACCTTGAATCTCTGTGTAAGCATGAAGTAAAGATTAA